TAGCTCAAATACTAATAGCTGAAAAATCTGGTTCTTTACCACTAATACCATAAGAGGTCACTTTCCATTAGTGACATCACCTCAGTAAGGCTTTGTTGCTAAACTGCTAATTATCACCAGATACTGCTGTCATTCAAAAGAGAATAAATATCACAAAATTCTGACATTTTCTTTATGGTTGCATTGTTTTTTTTTTTTTTTTTTTTTTTTTTTTTTTTAAATTTTATGATTAATGTAGACAGTTCAAACAGAGAAACAAACATCTGAGTTCAAGCATTTTTAAAACAGATAAATATTCCAAAGATTTAATTATTTTTTATTTAAATGATAAAGTATAAAAATTTTGAATACTTACATATATGTATTTTAATATATACATCTAAATATGAAGGCTGTTAAAATTAATATATGCAGCATACACTGATATTTAAAGGTTGTATGGCTAAATAAGTATAGAATCTTATTATAAAGATATACAATATTTTCTTATATTTACAATATTTTTTACTCACATAAAAGTAATGATCAAATCTTAGTATATAAATGATATTCACATAAGTACCGTGTGATCCAAAAGCAACAGAAAATATAAAAATTAAATAATTGAAAAGTACAGGTATTAGCATGATACAGTTTTTATAGAAATTCACAAAAAGACATTTTTTTAATAATAATGGACGATTTTTCTTGCTAGAACTGTTACATTTTTCACCAACAGGTGGACATCCAATCATACAGTGGCACTGCACATTTCATAATGCAGCTAGAATTATAAAAGTTCAATGTGATAGCCAACAGACATGGCAAGAATCTCTGCACAGCATCAAAGAGTGATTAGCTATAATCTCTGTCACATGATGACAAATAACTTCTTTCAACATAGGCAATCACATTAGTTGACTTCTATATATCTGTGACTTACAGTAAAAATTAAACAATTTTGGAAACAAAATTTACCATTATTACAACCCCCCCCAAAAAAAACCTCATGTTTCTATGTGCATTTTTTGTGAAAAGCCACATTGTGCTACTATTTATACTTTTTGAAATATTGAATTTTTACTTTTTCTGTTACTTTTGGATCCTCCTACATATGTAAAATTTTATTTGTCAAATGCCAGTTACATTGGCCATTAGAACATTAAACTCCTTGCTTGCCAATAGCGCTGAAATCTACAAGAAAAATTTGTCAGTGCTTCACACTCGTCCAAATGTTCCACCGTCATTGGCCGTCCACTATTACATAAAACCCACAATGGCGAATCAGCTAGTCCAATCTGAAAGAAATGATTCTGTAGACAGTCATGCCCCATCAAAAGTCTAAAAGATGCAACCGCAACTGTTCACGGGTGATCAGGAACAAAAGCTGGGTTTGTTGAGAGAACACTCCAAAGCTTGCCCTCACAAGCCCAAGTGACAAAATCTCTAAAAGTCTTTGGATATGTTACCGATGTCAGAAGCCTAATAGAATGGAGGCATGCACTCGTTTTTGGCTTTTAGATAAAAATAGCCCCCCTTTTCACAAGCATATCAGCCATCTCATTCCGATAAATACTGCAGTGTGAAGATACGAATTGAAAAGATATTTTATGGGAAAGTTCTTTTATGACTTCCTGACACTGTTGAACGCATATGTTCTTTCGCTCTTGGTAAGAGGAGATGGCCTGTATTGCTGAAGTTAAATCAGACAGTACAACACCTCTCCTGAACGAGCTCTGTCTCAATGATAGATAATTGTTATAGAGCTACATGAATGGCTTTAAGTTCTCCATCAAAGTGAGTGGAGTAAGCCCCTACAGGTATGTAGAAACTGAAAAGCTTGCTAAAAACTCCAGCTCCAGCCCCCTGAATCCTATCAGTCAAAGAGCCATCCGTATATACATGTATCCATTCCTCAAAGCGGAAAACGTTGCTCAATTTTTTCCAAAGCTATAGTTCTTATTTGCCCTGGACTCATTTCCTTCTTATCTACTTTCATTTCCAGGTCCAACAGCACATCAAAGAAGCTATAATCCAGAGGATTTAGCAAAAACAGCAGTGCCGGTTTCAGTGTTCTTATATGATTGTATTGTTCTAGGCGAGAGACACACTGCAGAAAGGCATTTTGTGTCTTCAGATTTTGTAGTTTATTATAATCATAATTCATCCAATGAGGGTTACTTGGTAGATAAATAATTCTCTGGAAAAGGATGAAAGCATTTTTCGGAATCAGGTTTGTCATTGGTTGGTTTGCCGATACCAACTGCTTTGCCAGAATGGGAGTCATTTTAACAGCCCCAGTTAAAATACGCAGTGCCTGATTTTGGAAGACCTCCGGATATTGTATCACATCTTGCGTAGCCGAAATATCTCACAGCAATAATTTAGTATTGGTCAAATATACATTTTATACGTCGAGTTAAGGGTCTCTCTACCACAACCCCATTTAACACCTGCTAAGCGTTTAAGGATAGGTAATCTGCGCTCCACTTTAGCAACTACATGCTTTCTCCAGGTTAAAGTGCTGGTCAAAAATACAGCCAATATAGGTGGCACCATCAGTCTGCTGCAAAACGGACTTCTCATACATTAGTCTAGGAGTAAAGTGTTGTCTCTTGAGAGAGAAAAACTGACAAGTAGTCTTCCACTGATTAACTCTCATATTATTAGCAGAATACCACTCCTCAAATCTCTGGAGCACAGAGTTTAAGATTCAGTTTAAACCATCTTGATCTTTTTTGTTAGCTCTGGCCCATACGACAAGATCATCGACAAAAAGGGCAGTCTTCACAATCCCATCTGATTCTAAGATGTCTGGTAGGTTGTTAATAAAAATGTTAAAGAGAATAGGGCTAATAACTGTGCCCTGAGGCAAACCTGTTTCAACTTGTTTATATTTTGAAGTGCTTGTGCCATAACGAGTAGCACAAAAACGTTGGGTCACGATTTTTTTACCCAAAGGAACAATTTTGCCAACACCGAATGTCTGAAGTTTTTGAACAGCCTATAACCTCCAAACATTATCATAAGCTGCTTGGAAATCTACGTAAACAGCCAGTACCAAATTTCATTCAGCAAGTACATCTTTAATTGACTGGCTTAAGAATACAACTTGTTGACTTGTAGAATGTAATTTCTAAATCCCGCTTCTGCTTGTTTGAAAGATATTAAGCCATTGGTATCCAAGTTCCACTTAAGACAGGAAAAATATCATGCTCTCCATTATCTTTGATAACACACTAGTTAAAGCAATTGGTCTATAGCTGTCCAAATCCTGCTGTGGTTTGTTCTTTTTAAGAATTGGGATCAAGATGGCCTTTTTCCAGGCAGCAGGAACAGTCAAGTTACAACTCTTATTATAGAGCTTCAGGAGGGCATTCAGGGTGTTTTCGCCAAAATTCTTTAAAAATTCAATATGGATATTCTCTGGGCCTGGACTTTTTTTACATTTTATTTGTCCAATAGCTCCCCACAATTCAGAAATAGTAAAATCTCTATTAAAACCCAAAGGTACCCGAGGGCTAGAAGAAAAATTTCTCGACAATTGTTTTCCTAAGGATCTTTTGGCTCTTCTTTAGATCATTTCTTAAACGCTATCTTTTGCAATAAAATGAGTTAAAAGCATCCGCAATGACCAGATCATCCGTCTGTATTTTTGAACCTACTTTCATGGGTTCTTTTCCATGAACAATCTCCTCCTTTTTCACTCCATTCACAAAATTATAAACCTTTTTTCCATCCTTTCTATAATCTATATTAGTAATGCAATCATTAAAGCATTTTTTCTTTGCTGCAATAATTTCTTTTCTAAGGATGGCTACACTTCTTCTCCATCTTTGGATGATATCTTTAGGATTTTTTGTTAGTTTCGGGATTCAATGGACATACCCTTTAATTCAGTCTATCATTCCAGAAAGCCTTGAACCTTAGTTGTTTACCTCTTGGTATCCACTTCTTTGCAGTTGTCAAAATTAATTCAGCAAAATAAGAGAATGCCTTGTTGATGCTCATCTCAGGGTTAAAACTTAAGTGGCTGGGAAAAGATAGTCTCAAGTTCCCAGCAAAAGTTTCCGCACTTCACCTTCTTAAAATTCCACCTGTTTTTCACTTTATTTACTAAAGGGTAAGAGGATTGTAATCCAAAACCAGTCGTGATCATACCTTGTCCAGAACCAGGATCATAAATGACTTCTCTTCTTGCATCGCCAGCTAAATCAACAGTGGCTAAAATCAGATCGGGATTATATGTAAAATGTTATCAGAAAAACAATTTGGCATATGCAAAACTATGATTCATAAAGTAATGAGGTAAAGTACCTCATAATATATCTTAAGTTTGATTCTCTCCAAGTTAAATATTATCAAAATATATCACTGAAAATAAAAAATTTTGTCATTAAACAAAAAACAAACAAAACAAAAAAAAAAAAAAAAAATAAGACTAAAGTTCTGTCTAATTTTCCTCAGTTTTTGGCAACAAAGTTAATGCACTTCAGCTAATTAAAAGTACTAAAATATATATTTTGATACTGTTCCATTAAATGTAACAGTATCAAAATATATATTTACTCATTACTTTATATAAAGATACCATTTATTTAATCAACCCTTTGGATGCCATGACTGGTTTTCTCCAGTCATGAGATTTTATGTTACTTGGCATATATTTGCTTATAATATTTTGCTTTCTTACTTTCTTTAATAATATAAATGTCATTTTAATAACTGTAAGTTTATGCAAATAGAGAGCTAATACAGGCTAATTAAATTACAAGTCTTCATGACAGATCCAAAAAAACCACACCACTCAGAAAGTTAATTAAATTTTTAAAAACCAAGATATACTCAACATTCTTTTCTCCTTAATATATTCACATGAGATGAAACTAATGTTAGACTTCACAGAGTTTGAATATATCACTGATAAAATGATTTTTTTCATAACTAATAAAAAAGCATATGATTTTGTTTACAGAAATTACTTCTAAATTTACAAAATATTACCATGAATCTTGACTTACGGGTATCTTTATTTTATACAGTGATTCAAGTACATGTGTTTCTTGCTTTAGAACTTGCAACAAGGTAAATATATCTGTTGTATCCATTTCAAAAAACATACCATTTAAAAACATTGCAGCATCTGATGGTCCAAGATTATGATGATGCATAAACATCTGGAAGATAGACTCAATACAATAACAATAAAAGATTTGATATAAAAATATGGAAAAAAAAAAAAAAAAAAGAACAATAACTTTCAAACAACTTTTCAGAACATGTTTTCTTCTTTTTTATATCTATTTAATTTTGTTTTATTGAAAATACTTTAAAAAGGCAATCATTATAGAAATGGAATTTAGTTAATGTGTAAACAAAGAGATTTTCAATAATCATAATTAAAACTAAATACATACAATAAAACTAAACTACACAACTGGTAACATTGAAATTTAAAAGCATAGTTAAGTGATTTTTTTCAGAATACCCAAAAGACTAATACAACACTTAAGATAAAGAATTGTGTATGAAAACTGAAAAATTTTAGTTTAACATACATACAATTATAAATTTTTTAAATTTTCTTTAAAAATATTTTAACAGATTTTTTTTCACAAGCTTGTTGCATAACTACTATTTTTACCATTCATATATATATATATATATATGCTTCAAATAATTAATTAATAATAGCCTTTCTCGTCTTACTTCTAAAAATAATAATAACTTTTTTGGATTCCCATCTTCTTTCTAAATATAATAAAAACATTTCTGGAATGAGTTGTTTCCAGATTAATCTATGCCATGAAGCTTGCTTAATGCTGATGATGTAGTAATTAGGAACCTAAACTGAGAATTGAAACTTTTCTAAATCAAACCAAAACCATCCTCTTCGTTGAGCTTCCATACTGGATAACTACACAATTTAGCTCCTCTCTCTACGCTGTTTGGATGTACAGTCAAAAGTCTTTAATCCGGACTCGTCGGGACTTCGGCGATTCTGGATTATCGATTTTTCCAGATTATAGATCATCAGTTTAAATCTGGTAAGATGGCATGCAGAAATTATACAATTAAAAATATGAAATCGTAATTTATGAAATAAAGAGCAATTGTGATCTAAAGGGTATCAAAATTTACAAAAAAAAAAAAGCTCAATATTTATTTGTTTACTTTATTAAACATTTCTTTCAAAGCGCGCATGCGTAAAGCATACGTTACGCATAGTCGAAATTAGAAAATTGCAACCAAAAAACTATTTTATGTGTATTCGCAATATTTATAATGACAAGGAAATTTATTTAAATCACATTGGAGTACATCAAGATGAAACACTACATTTAGTAAGGAATTATATGCCGAATAAAATAAAAACATCTGCCCTGAAGATGAGGATAATGCTGACAGATCAACTTCCAGTTCACTGTGCACCGTGACTGAATTCTGGATCAGAGATAGTACTGAATTTTCCACTACTTCTGAAATGGCATTAAATAGTCTGCTGCCACTCTCATATTTATATGAAAGCACACTTTCAGCTTTAATGCTTATTTAATCCAGTTATTGCATAAAGTTGAGAAATGTTGAAGACACTTTTCATCCAGCAGTGTCCTATACTGCACCAAGATTTAATTTGTTATGAAGTGCAAAACAACTACATCCATCTCATTAAAATACGATTTTCTTTCATAATTTTTGCATACTTGAAGCAAATCCCCAAACTACTTTTTATATGTATTTTTTTCCTAAAAGAATAAATTTACGGGAAAAAAATTATGTCATATTTAATGTCTGCAGTTATACAAAAATATCAATGATAAAAAAAAATCTGACAGAAGAAAGTTTAAAAAGCACAGATTTACAGCAACATAAAACTAAAGAGATTTCCTTGTATTAAAAGATCTGTATCACTTCATGTAACCAAACATCTACACATGCAATCTACACATGCAACAACTACAATTTTAAGTATAAAATGGTCACAGCTTTTATACTGCACATATTAACATAATACGTAAATGCCTATCTTTATAAGCATTCTCAATGAACAGCATTAATTTCACTGTAGGTACTTGTGTGGTAGGATTTTTTTCCCTTCTTTTTATATTATGTATTCTCTTGAACTAATTTTGTACAGATGGGATTTTATTTTAAAAGAAAAAAATCAATATTTATATTCACCATTTTTGGCACTCTAATATCAGCAGAAAGAATTTGCAGCTAAAAATAAATTGTACATGAAACAAAATTGCTGTTATACACCATACCTGCTGATTTCTGTCAATTTCCTTTTTAACTTCACTAGAAACAGAAACATGAATTAATGACCGGGCTTGAACGGGAAAGTTTTGAGATATATCTTTCATTATTCGCATACTCTCTTCAATTGGTGAATCCAAAATCTTCTGGGCTGCTTGTAAACTAAGTTCTGAAATAAATACGATATATCAGGATATTAAAAGTAATTATTTAAAAATTAATAAATAATAGCAAATATATTATATCAAAATTTTTATGCACTAACACAATTCTAAAGGAAATTAAAGTTAAAAATTATACTTGAAACATAATAAAATGAAAAAAGCAGCCAGTATTTATAGATGTTATAACATGCGAGGTGGCACATATTTATGCACTAGATAACAATTACTCAGCTAAAAATGTTCTGATACAGAGCTACGATGCATAGGTTTAACTGTTACGTACTGGTTGATAATCAATTAAAATAGTTATTTATAGATATGGTGGCAACAATTCCTACTTTGATAGACCACAATATTGTTCCTTTTCTCATTATGAAAAACAAGATGTTATTAAAAGTAACTAGTGTTAAAAATATAGTTGTGTTAATTCTAAAAATAATTCAAAAAACTTACTCTAAGTAACATACTACAATGCTAAACCTTCTGAGAACATAAAGAAACATAATAAATAGAGTAAATAACTAAGAGAAAATTATATACATTCTTTGTGTACACAAGACCATAATGCCAAATCTCTCAGAGAACAAATCTAATATTTTACTCTATAAAAGTACTGTAGAATATGACACAGAAGTACAAGCTAATCACAAAACAAATAATACTTAATAGATCCAAGGAATTCAATTTCTTCCATGAAAACAGTTTACAGAGAGTTTTCAGAGGAAACTGCAGCTAATTTTCTCAGAGTCCTAGATATGCTCAGTAAGGTCCAGGCTGAGAGATCTGGCAATCTTACACTCTGTCATCTATCAGAAGAAAACAAAGACCAACAGCTGCTCTAAAAGGCCTCACATAATGCTCTAAGACTTAGGTGGGGAGCATGCAGCTTCTAGCTCTTGTATTAATTATTTAATTATATAGATTATGAAAATTTTAAAATTAATATAATTAAATAAAAGACTGTCATCCAATGGGCATAACACGAATTAGAATGCTGCAGTTCTGGCAGTCATTCATAGCCTGAAGTTCGAGCCCCTCTGCCCCACATTGATCAGTCTTCCCATTTTTTCTGGAGTTTGCAATCTGTAGTTATCTGTGCATGCTTGTTAACAGTTAATTAACGATATTATTTTATATTCATTTTCCTCCCATCATGTCAAATTGTAAGAGAAGAAAATTAAATTAAGAAAATAGGACATTTAATTTAGAGTCGAAGTTAAGAATCTAAAATAGTGTAATTATTGTGCACTACGTTTTAACTACTTTGAAAAAGTGAATGCAAATAAACACTATTTTACACATAAAGAACATAAATATTTCAATTTAGAAGGTGAACCTCAATAAGCTGCAGTTCAAAAAATTAAAAATGAAAAGCATGATCAATAGGCATATTTTAGTGGCTTTGTAAAGAAAAATACCAATGCAGTTGCTGTAACTTAGAAAATAGCACATATATTCGGAAAAAGACTCAAACCATTTGGTGACATACGGATAATCTTAAAATGTATTGTTGAAGCAGTGGACATGTTAAATCTAGAAGAAGTTGATAAATACAAACAACTGCCTCTTCACAAAACTATAACAGATCGAAAGCACAAATTAGCTCAAAATGTAAAGAGAGAAAACATCGGACATTCAAAATGTAAACAGAGAAACATAGTACAATTATACAAATGAAAAGGTTTATTTTCCAGTTGCTTTAGATGAAAGCACAGACCAAAATTGACTCACCGCAAGTATTATATTTTATTTGTGCTGTAACTAAAGATTTTCAGTGTTATGAAGAACTATTTGTTCTAAGATAAAATGGGGCAAAAGATCCAAGCATTTTGAAAAAAATTAACATCTTTCAAAACACTGCTCTCTCTCTCGGATGTATTTGCAGAACACTTTCTCGAGCTAGTAAAAATGTTGACCGAGCATAAATGTGAGAACAAAATATTTGATGAATATATAGGTGTCTTGGATTTTTTAGTAGAATATATTGAAATTTTTTTTAGATTTTGAATAGCACACTTCTGATACAAAACTCCTACATTACTACAAATGGAGTTAGTTGAGTTGGGAGAAGATAATACCCTAAAATGCCTTTTTTGACACTAAAAAAGTTCCCATAGAAATCAGGAAAAATGCGACTGAATAACTATGTTTATAAGAGCACATATGGTTTGCAAGTACAATAATAACCATGTTTAAAAGAGCATGTATGGTTTACAAGTACAACAATAACCATGTTTAAAAGAGCATGTATGGTTTACGAGTACAATAATAACCATGTTTACGAGAGCTGTTTGCTTTCCATCTCTGAAGTACTTACTGCTGCAAGTCAACATTTTCTCTCACGACTAAAATTTAAACTAATTTAAGAACACAAATTACATATGCTCAATTAGAGGATGAATTAAGACTCTGTGTTATAAAGCATGATCCAAATATTCAATTACTTTCAAGAAAGAAACAAATAAAAATGCTACTAAACTAAAATTTTCATCAGATTTTAAATTTATTCTACATGTTTTTCCTATGTTAATTTTTTATAACTTAATATCATTATTTTTCTATTGTATTCTTCACAATTTAATAAATTTATTTCAAATTACTTCTGCAAATAATATTATTATTTTTACCTAATACCATTACTTCTTTATTGTATTTCTTTATAATGCATTAAATTTATTTAAAAATACTACATCTACTTTATTATTTTCATTTGAAGCAATATTTAAATATATGCAGTTGTTTATTAAAGAATAATGTTATACTAAGTTATTTATATGAATAAAAAAATTTTATATTGCAACTTTTCATATTAAATAATAAATAAATTACCTAATTTTTTGTGTTATTTCTATGCAATGCAATAAATTGATAAAACTGTACAAAAACTATAATAATTTCACAAATAGTTTGTTTTTAGCTTGAAAGAAATTCATTTCTTGCTTCACCATTTGTAGGTATACCAACTTATGTAGCCTCCTTTATTGCTGCCTAATTTAAATGTGATTTCTAATGATAAAAAGGTTCCCCACAGCTGCTCTACAATCTTATCTTCTGTAACACACAGCATTCTGATTTATCCCTTCAAATAAAAGGAATAGTATGCAGTTGCAACAAATCAACAAACTATAGCCTAGTGGTTCTCCACATGTTTTACCCCATGCACCGCTTTCACTATTACAAGATCATTCCATCCCTCTTTTCCTAAACTAAAAATGTACATGTACGTTTATTTAGATTATTTTTAACATGTTTTATAAATTAATTAACAAAAAGGTATAGAAAATGTTGATAAATAACAAACTTTGAATAAAATTAGTTCTTCATATTCATAAACTAAAATATTTAGGTCATACAGAAATGACTGACACAAATGCTGCCACAGAACGGAATACAATTTATTGATAATAAAACAATTAGAAATAATCCCTGCCCATGTCAATACACTTCTGCCATCTGGCTGGGAGGTCCCGAAGGGCTTTGGTAAACCAGCCTGTGGGGAGTGTTAGTGCACCACCTATGAACAATTGCATGCAATTCGGCAGAAGATTCAACAAGTTGGCCCCTGACTGCATCCTTCATCTTGTCAAGCAAGGCATAGTCCGAGGTCTTGGTTCGAGGTCCACCCACTTTGCACACACATTTGTCATCTCCGAATCACCATGCACAATTGCCTGCAATGTTCCTTGCGCAAGCCCTGTCTCTTCCAGCTAAACGTTATGTGCCTGTTCACCATGATCAAATCTGACACGGCTGCCACATTCGCTGCTGTTTACGATGTTGCTGGTATCCCACACTGACACCTTTTGCTGTGGTCTAAACTCCACTGCTGAACTTGGCCAACACTGAGCATGATAATCACCTTCCATCACTGCTGGTCACACTTTCAATGACAATGGCAAAAGAGATGGGGGCTGACTCATACTGTTCGCTTGCGGCCAGCTCCACTTATGCATTCTCAGTAGCTCACGCCCCCTTGCATCTATTTCACTTGTTTTCCCTTTGCATAGTGTAATAATTTCATTATGAGAGCCATTGTGTCAATCATTTCTGTACAATCCAAGTATTTAACAGTTAAATAAAAGTTACATCGCATTTCCTCCTGAAACTATGAAATACTCCCCACGAAGTATTCTCCCTGGTTGAGAATCCCTGCTATAACCTTTAAAGCAATTATCATTTTCAAACATTTAAATGATTCTTATGAGTTTCTTGCTATTTACATGCAAATGATCACAAGTATCAGTTTGTAAACTAAATTTTCATCCCATCTATTAATAAACGAAAATAGGTACATTTGTCTTTGTTTCAAGAATGATGCTCTGTGTAGAAACTTAAGTGTGCAAATTATACAAATCACAGAAACATTCGTGCTAACTACACAAATTAAAGCGACATAACAGGTAATTTTACCACACTTACAATACAGTTTCTCTTGTTACAGTTATATGTGGATTGCAAACTTGGACAGTTGTTAGATTACATAATAAACTATCGAAAGCAATATAATGATTATTGTAAGGACAACACTGATCAAGCCTTTATGACATGCTGTTAGTATCAATACATTGCTGACAAAATAGTGAAAAAATATGGAACAGATGCTCAAATCCTTTACAATCTCATATTGGCAAGCTCCCATTTATTTATGGCTATGCACCATGTTGAGCCAAGTATAAACTGAAGAAGACATTAAGAAAACTTCTGGAAAGATGATTTCAATTAATAGCTGAATTTGCATATTTTAGAACATTCTGCTTCTTAAAATTGATAGTTCTAACTAGCTGAGCACAAATAATGTTAGTTTGCACACATCATATAACAAAGTTCACACACATTTCTGCACATGGAAATTAAGTACTTTTAAGGACCATTAATAAAAAAATTTAAGGACCCATCAACAGATGGGAACTGAAAAAATTCAAATAAAGACATTAGCTGTGCCTGAACTTCACTTTTGTGAAACCATCATAAGAATAAAATAGATCCACAAGTAGAATGCATTAGTTTAATAAACATAATTATAAAACAAATTCGAGAATAAAATCAACTTGATAAAATTTATCATGCAGCATTAAATACTTGTAATAGTTGGACATATTTGAAAGGAAATTAGGAACATTTTATTTACGTCTTACTAACAATTAGCTTTATTTTGATTTTTTCTTTCATGTGTTATTTTGTCATGTAGCAGGCAGATTTTATGTCAAATGTCATAGTTTAAAATTTGAAGTAACATCAGAATCAACATGATTCGTTACAGAAGACTGGCTGTTGCCATCGCTGGTGCTTGCCTAGAGAGAGGCCAGCTTATCAGAACAAACCTGAAACCCTGATGTAGGCATGGCTGACAAATTTAGAAAGTTAGTTGCGCTCTTCCTGTCTGAAGCAGATGTCTCTACACAAAGTGTCATAACTTTGTGTAGAGTTCCTGGGGTTGTAACCCAGTTAATATATTTAAAGGTTCCAATAAGTCACTAAAGCACCAGAGGTGATAAGTTGTTTAAGTCTCACTAGATGCAAAGAATTAAGTTTTACATTAACTTTTACATTTCTGTGTTTTATCTTGTAACCATGGTAAGGATTAATGAAAGGCAATAACTCGCTTTAATATGAAGAGATAATTTTTAAAGGACTTATAAATAATTAAATTAGGTAGTTAGATAACATTATAGATTTACATGGCCACTATTAAATTTATTTTTTAAAAATATTTGTTAAAAAAGCACTACTAAAATCACAATCTATTTACATGTCACAGTTTAAAATCCATGTAATTTATGACATTGATTCTTAAACGATATTAAGATAACTACACATTAAGAGCCTCAAAACATTTACGTTTTGCAACAACAATAAGAAGAAAATATTTATACATCTTTTTAATTTGAAGCCTTTCCAGACATTCTGGCTAATTTATATCAATTTCCTTCTCTTTAAGCATCTTTTCTAACAATTAGAAATTTGTTTCAATATGCAAACCAATATTTCCACTAGTTTCTGAGAGTTTCATTTCCTAAATTGTCAATCTCTCAACTATGTACCCATGAGGTTTTACTTGATCTGATAAAAGTTAAATAGTTTAAAACTCCTGACAGACGTGAAGCAAATTATCGCTCTCTCTGAAAGTAACTACAAAGTCAGATAGTGTTTAAATAAATCTCTTATTTAAAAAAGACCTTAGAACATAAAGTTTCTAATGCTAGTTTTAAATGCATGTTGTTATGCTAGCAAAATCAACTACAGATTATGGTGATCCAATTAAACAGGAACAGTCAAATTCAAACCAAAAATGTGAACTAGTAGTCAAAGACTACACAATTTAATTTTAATCTAAGCTGGCTCAGTAACATGTCATAACAAACTTGTAACTCGTCATAGCGTAGTTATCGCATAGCAAATTCAAATATCAGCAGCAATAACAAATAATTACAAATTAATACAGCTAGAAGGAACTAATGCAAAATGTAAGCAGAGGTTAGAAACAGATTCTGTCTAAAAAACCCCAAAACCTTAGTTTAAAAACTATTTAAGTGATTTGCATTCTGGTGAGGAAATAAAAAGGGAAAATTATAGCAAAGGCTGAAATTATAAACTGCTGAATTTACATAATAATAACTGTACATATCTTTGAAGAATAATTTTCTTTCTCTTTGTGTTTCGGCTTCTTTTTCAATATGTTTTCTTTTCATTTTAGAATTTTTAGATTTAATTAAAGATTTCTGTTATTCTAAAAAACAAAATGCATTTAGAATGTATAGAAAAAGGAGACAATTTTATTTTTTAATAGTATGAACATTCAGAATCAATATGAAATGCTATATGGAAGAACCCGTGTAGCAGAATTTTTGGAATTTAGCGAAACAATGAGCAACAAAATCTAAACAAGACAAAATTTTAGAATTTAAGAAGGCACTAGGCAGCAGAATTTACGATCCACAGGAGACTGAATCAGGTGGGAAAATGTGTAGTGCCAGCCCTGTGTATGATGCTGATGCAATGAGACATATAAGATGAATCTACTAAACTGTCAGTTTTCAATTTCTTTATAAATAGAAAAATTTCTTTCTAAAAATACCTGTCCGTGTGATAAGATTAGAAGCATTTTTGATATTTTTCATGCTTCTGTCTAGTGAAAAGTAGAGAAAACAAGGGGATGATAGCCATGTTATGAAAAAGACTTCTAGCATTACAAGTAAAAACATTCAAATATTACATTTTCATTGTTCAGAAAATTCTCCAAAAAGTAAATGTTCATCACAAACTTTCTGTAAAATACATCCTTTATGTGTTAATACCATGACGACATTTTTCTGGAATCTTCTAAATTCCTGGATCTATAAATTTTGCCTTCGAATCCTTCTAAATTTTCCAAGTTGCAACGTCTAAAATTCTAAAGAAAATTTACCCTTACCAAAAGCAAAAAACCAGAAATATGTTGAAGGAAAAAAAATCAGAATGGGGGGAAGTGTAAAATTAATTTTATAGAGAAAACTGATCCATAATGAGGCAATTATATAGGAAAAACTCTTACCATGAAAATATTAAAACAAAGCATATTCAATTACACAGCTATTTCACTTTTCCTAAGAATTGTTTCGGAAATTGTGCTAAAGTACAATTTAGCATTTATTACCTTGTTTACTTTTTAGATTCAAAATATTATATACTAAGTCATCAAAATGGAATGTTATTTCTTAAATACTATTTCAATATATTAGCATTATTTTAATAAAATTGATCAACGTTATAATGTTTTAAAAAAAATATTGTCGAAAGATTCCTAGTTTTCTGAATTAAAAATTTCCTATAGAAACAGATCTTAAAATTGCTACAATGTTAATAAGTCACCAAATTTGAAACATTTTAATAATGAAATCTCATTCTCAAAAGCGAAAAGTTGTTTATGAGCTCTTCATTATAAAAAATTAAATAATTTCAAATGCATATGTTTCTCTTCTTGCTTAGAAACTTGAGTATTGCACCATTTTTGTTAGAAATAGGAACAACCTATTCCATGAACCTATTCACCCATTCAAAAGATAACTATATTTGTCAATGAATTGCCAAAAATATTTGTCCGAAATGTTAATTCACATTCAAAATGGCAGTCATAAAGACAGACTAAAATTTCAGATGATTAAAATTAAGGACCTCCTGCCAAATTTGGTCGAAATTAAGGACTTTTAAGGATCATAAATCGAGTCCAAAAAACCTGACTTTTAAGGATCGTAAAAACTCTGTATATATACAAGAGCTTTTCAATCATTTGTATAATATATCCAAAACTGTAATTAGAATTTTGTTTCAGATACCACTGTATATTTCAAATACTAAATAAAAATAATATTTATTATTCTTTTAACAACTTTGAAAAAAGCAATAAAAGCTTTTATACATCTTATATCACACTGTGTCCATATAACACTGAAAGTATTTTTTTACCTTGCAATTCCCACACTTTTAAAGTTGGAATTTCCTTTGAACTTTCTAAAATATGAGCTTTAAACTGTTCCAGATTTTCAGCTTTTGATGGATGCAGCTCCCTTAAGAAATAAACAAAATTATCACTTAGTTGAAAATATAAAATTACGTACAATTGACAAAAATTATATTTCAGACATGAAAGTACTGCATAATTTTTTGGTGTCCCAACATAACTCTGATTATCAGGACCCAAAAATATCTAGAAATCCAACTGTTTGGATTGCTACAAATAATTTTGTTTTGCATGTTAATAATATTCATTTTGTTGCTGATTGTTGGCACATTTTTAATTTTTTCATTGATTTTAAACAACAGTAAAAGATAAAATAATATTTTCTGGATGCCGTTAAATTAAATTAAATTAAAGAGATGATATAAATACATCCAATAAACATTTAAATGAAAGAAATACGTGCTTAAGCTTCTTGTTTTTTGTGCACACAATGAGTTAATGCTTAAGCATAAAAAGGTACCTCTTTCTAAAGTTAGTCATAGTAATATTATATCAGTGGAGGGGGGGGTTCAGTTTTAGTATGATAAAACTAAAATTGACTACATTTTACTTGAGAGAAGCCTACATAAATAAAATCCAATTTTATTCTACTGTAGTCAAAATGGAAATGGGTTAAATATTTAGACAAATAAAAATATTTTATTTTTTAACTGTATAATTTTTGTTGAGATAAAATATAATTTCAAGTTTTACACTATACAGATTTGCAGTTCTTGGGGAGTCTCTTCAAAATGTCCTCATAGAACTTCAATAATCAGCCTGTTTATGTATGTTCTAATAATTAATTAATGCATGTCTTCAGAATTATTAAAACTAGAAAACACCAATAATGAAATTATTAATAGCAAAGTGTAATAATTCAGTAGTTAGACTGATCATATCATGCAGTAAGAGAATACACAAAAATAATTTAATTACCAGCCATATAATAATGATGATAATGAAAAACTTGTAAAAATATAATATATTTATAACATAATTTGAAATTTTTATACTAATTTTCTAAAGGTTAGTATTTATTAATTTTCTGAAGTCTAAATTAACTTCTTTTTAAGTCACAATTTAGTTACATCATTGTTATTTTTAAATTCCTATCATTTTCAATACAATTTTTATATTCAAAATATGAAGCCACAGTTATACATAGTTTCTCAGTATTCATAATTTTTAATAATAATAAAATTTCAAATTCTCTCTAGACTCTTGGATTTTTTTGTTTGAAGTATTTCAGTGGTGCAGAAACAGAGTCCACTTATAAGAAACCAACTATGTGCAGGTGATTTTGAGTAGAAGCAAACTGAAGAAGTTATATTTTTATCTTGCAAATAAAACAAGACAGGAAAAAAAAAAAAAAAAATTCAGTTAAAAGCCTTCAAGAATTCTCTCTTAATATGAAAATATGCACCATTTGCATTAAACTGCACAATACTTTTAATGTAAATCCCAAGCCACAAAAATTTTGCAAATATTCACTAAAGATTGAATGCCTATTGATTGAAAACGCCTAAAGATTTTGCTTATATCTTCCCAATAAAATATTACTGCTCTAATCATGCTGTAGTACTGCAAGAATTACAGCTTTGGTAACATAATATATATATATAATTTTTTTTTTTTTTTTTTTTTTTTTTTTTTTTTTTTTTTTTTTTTGTGCTCCTGTTGAACAGATTTCAGAAACCTTTCTTTTAAATAACCCAAAAGGAAGAAATCTCAAGCTGCCAAATACAAGGAATATAATTCCCAATCCACAGAATCACCATTATCTTAAAACCCTATATCAAAAAGTGCTTCCAGTGAAATCACAAAAGCTAAATTTAAAAAAAGAGAAGGGGATACAGAAAGAAAGGGGGGAAAGAGGTGTCATTAAAAATGAAGTTGAAATGAGAAAATTTATAATATGAGATAAAAGCGGATGCACACAAAGTGCCAATTAATTCTTTACATCTTCATAAACATCTTCATGATATTCAGACAGTGAATTGTAGTGGAAATCAAAGTACTTTTCTCTATTCAATTTGCCATAAATTTATATACTGCACTCAATAAATTACTAATTTTGATTATTACTGTGTTTTGAGATATTAAAACAAGCATTCAAGTAATTCACTGCAACACATTAAGAATACTTTTTTTTTTTTATCAACTAAACAAAACACTTCAGAAATTTTAATAACTGATGACCTGAATATCCATTTAATACCATTTGCCTTTTCCCTGATTAGAAAGGCAAATGGTTGAAATATTATATGAAAATACTCAAAAATACTTCAAACTTCAACAATAATAATTCCGAGTAAAATTTAAAACACACAAAATTATTTACAATTTTTAATGAACATTAAAACAAATTTAATGTATATACTCTTTTTATCCCGGATGGATTTATTAAAAAACATTTTATTTAAACAGATAATATTTTGCCATGTAAAATCTAATATAAATTAGATAATAAAAAACTTTTTTGTGTGTGTATTAAATTCACATTTAACACATTTGCTGCTAAGGTAGATATCTGAAACTTCCCAGAAGCTGATTAATGTAGAAAGTTATACCTCATTATATGCTGCCGCATAACTGGCAAGTAGATGATGGCACACATCACATGCCAGCAGCAAATGTGTTACAGATAATTCTATCAAAACAAAAAGAGTCTCACACTTACTTCAGTTTGCTGAATATGAATCCTTCAAGTTCTTCATACTTATCAATTTCTTCTTGCTCAGGGCCTTTTTCCTCTAAAATAATAAATTTATTAGACTATTACATTACAAATTTACTTACCTTCTATAATTTCTATGATCTGATAGGAATTACATGATACTGCAACAGTATATCAAATGCCAAAATTTGCTTTTAAGCTTCAGTTTAAAAACACAATATATCTTAAAACAGGAAAAGTGGACACTCAGAAATTTATATATGTTTCAAAATAAATATACTAGGAATGATATATCACTCGAATTCTCCAATCTGTAACCTTAAAAAAATTGAGATTTAAAAGCTTAAACCCTTTTTTCTTTCTTTTTTTTGGCGGGTTGTATGTGGAGAGAAAGGGTTTAACACTTTTGAATTCTAACCTAAAAAACATTTAATACTTTAACGTAAACCCTGGAAAATATTAATTTTTGGGGGGCATTCAACTTCAACAGAAACGTTAATTAAAAAAGAATGCAACTGATGCAATTTTAAAAGTATATAGGTCACCTATATCACCTCATTAGAGCCTTACAGTGATCCAGATCAGTTTTCATCTTCATGAAAATCCTTTAAACTAATTCTTAAATCTTGATACACACAGATAACCTACTACTAATAGATCCTGAATGTTTCTACAGCTCATTACATGGTACATAAAGACTGCATCAGATATGACTCTCAATTATCTATCAGCTACATTCCTCAACCACAGCCACTGTATTTTGAATTGTTACTGAAATAAATGCTACCAATTTATGCTGAGAAAATAAATGATGTTTGAGTAATAAGAATAATGTTTTTTACAAAAGATTTAATGACAAAAATAAAATTACCTTTGACCTTTGTATCATCTTGGGCTTTGTACTCTGTACTTTTAACTGCTAATTCAACACCATACCCAGACAGACGAACCTTCCTCTTATGTCTTTTCTAGAAGAAGCATAAAAGTATGTTACTGTTAAAAAATTATATGAAAGAAACATAATACTCTCGCTTTTTATTATTTTTTAAATTCGGTGTAATATTTGATTAACATTAAATTATAAGTTTAATGATTTATCTTAGTATTTTCAACATAGCATAGTTTAAAACCTCATACAAATTATATATCAAGACTTTCTTTAAATTTTACTTGACATAATTAATAATACAGTACATAATATTTAAAAGATTATCACTGAAGATCACATTCATTAAATGTTTATTATTTCTTAAAATTTCCTTAATTTTTCTGTAACATATAATAAAATTCATTGCATTCACTTACAAGTACAAAGTGCCGAACAGCATATGTAATGGTATTCTTTTCTGCTTCTTTCTCAAGAATTTCATGTAATTTATGAAATGATGAAGTTCCTATTTCTCCATACAATATAACATCAGCAGTTTTTGAAGTGTTTGGATGAATATGATCAATTTGATATAATACAGATGTATTCCTAGAAAAAAAAAAATTACTTTAGAAAATAAAATAATAATAATAGCACATGTGCAAAATATTTGGCACTTTTCATTAAAACTATCAAGTGCACTTTCAGTGCCATGTTGATGCATTTTGGCTTAATTCATTCTCCACACCTTTCAATACTAGGCAAAATAGAATGGTTCTCTGGAATACCAACACAGCCTGCAGAACCACATCACGAAGGCATGCTAGGAAGGTGGGAGAAATACTTTATATACTTCCCCTTTTAAAGGGCGACTGGGGGTTTTTAGGGGACCCAATCGCCAAATCCTGGGTGAGGAGAATCATCATCCAACACCCTTTTCATTCGGGTGCCACTTGTAGAGACATGAGGTTTTTTTTGGGGGGGGAGCAGGCAGGATGAAAAATTTATTAAAGTATGTTAATAAAAATAATAATAATATAATATATAGTTTAGATAAGTTCTGGCAACAGTGAGTGTTGTCGTCATCAGGAGATCGTGCTTCGCGATACTGTTGTTCAAACATCTATAGTTTGTAATTCTAATAAAAGCATCGTATTTTTGCTCTGCTATTAGTTTTCTCTCTATTTTTAGAAATACCTTTTTAGGTTATGTATTTTTTAAGAAATACTTTTTTAGATTATGGGTCAAGCAAGCTCCCATATTGCGTCAAATGTTTTGAATTGATGTTTTTTCGAAGAAATGGAACTCGTTAAGCCTAATCAAGTAAGTGTTTTGTTTTCGTTATAGCAATCGAAAGTTGTTTAGAAATCAAAGTATGGAATTATCTAAGGTCCAAGTAAAGCCTTTATCAAGTGAAAGCAATTGGCTTATATGGAAATACAGGATAAAATTTGTTTTAAATTATCATCCTGGTGCTTTAGAAATTGTAGAAGGAACTATAGTGAACCCAGAAATTCTTCCTGTAGATGCTCCGATTGCTCAACAAGAGAAATATAATGAAGCTGTTAAGAAGTTTCAAAATGCAAACACTAGTGCTGTGATGGTATTAACGAATTCCATGACGGAAGAAACTCTGCAAAGAGTTATGAGATTTCAGACTGCTAGAGAAGTGTGGTTGGAATTACATAAGTTATTTGAAGCATCATCAGAAAATCAATTGTATAATATATGCATGCAATTTTTTCAATTCAAGTGGAATGAAAATGATAATATGGCAGCTCATCTTTCAAAATTAAAAAACTTATGGAATGAGTTGAATTCAGGACTTGAAAAGAAAAATGAAAATAAGTTACTTGACATGCTACTCAATTGCAAGCTTTTAGATGTCTTATCAGGACAATACCATTTGTTTAAGTCAAGTTGGTTACTCTTGGGTGAAGACAAGAGAACAGTTGATGAGTTAACAGCACAGCTTTGCTCTCATGAAAGAGAATTTAAAAGTCATGAGAAAAGCAATACAAATGAACAAGTGGCATTAGTAATGTCAAAATCTGAAAAACAAAAGCAATATAAAAAAGACAAATTCAGAAGAAAACCAAGAAAAGAAGATCTTTGCAATTATTACAAAAAGAAAGGACACTGGGTAAAAGATTGTAAATAGTGGATTGCTGATGGAAGATCACCCAAGAATAGGTTAACGAAAACCAATGAAGGAAATACAGGCAGTGTAATACTGATGTCCATTGACGAAGAGGCTAAGACTGATCGAACATCTTTTTGAATTGATAGTGGAGCTACAAGACATATCATGAATTGTTTCACATACTTTATTGACTTTATGAAGTTTGATAGTCCCTGTAGCATCAAGGCTGCTGGAAAAGAAACTTTAGTTGCTCTTGGTAAAGGTACAGTATGTGTCAAAACAACTATTGGTAGTAAAATCCAAAGAATTTACCTTGAAGATGTTTGGTATGTCCCTGAGATAAACAGAAATTTATTTTCTTTACTTGCTGCTCAAGATAGAAATCCGAATAGTAAATTTATTTCAACAGTTACAGAATGCTGGTTAAAGGTTAATGGTCAAGTAGTCCTTTTTGGAACTCGCAAAGTATATGGTACTTCATACAAGGCAGCTATCGAACCTATTATGCCTGGTAAAATTATAGAAGTGCATGCTGCTGAAGCAGACAATTCCTTGTTAGAGTTATATCATCAGAGATGGAGACATCAAGATAAACGTCACATTAAGAACATGCTTGGAAAAGAATTACGAATTAAAATCCCATTTGAAAGAAAATTGTGTGAACCATGCATTTTTGGCAAAGCACACCGTTTACCATTTGGCATAAGAAAGCCAGCCAGCAAGCCTGGTGAATTAATTTCAGCTGATGTCTGTGGACCTTTTGATGAATCTTTCCAGAAGAAAAGATACTTAGTTGTGTTTAAAGATAGCTACACAAAGTTTCGTTATGGGTATTTTATCAAGGAAAAATCTGCTGTTGTAAATATGTTACAACACATGCTTGCACACACTAAAATTTTAGGACATTCAGTCAAAGAATTTCTCAGCGATAATGGAGGCGAGTTTGACAATGACAAAGTGCGTGCTATTTTGCATTCTGAATGTATAACTCAAAGACTAACAGCACCTTATTCTCCTGAACAAAATGGCTCTAGTGAAAGAGACATACGCACAGTAATCGAAATGGCAAGAACATTTAAGTACTCAAATTCTGAAGCTCATTTTCCTGCAACAATGTGGGCTGAACTAGTCAACACTGCCATACATGTACTAAACAGAACTGGCAAATCATCAATGAGTCCTTATGAGCTATGGTTTAAAAAGAAACCTCGAATTAAGCATCTTCGTATAGAAGAATCCTAAACAAAGAAGAAGGAAAATGGATAATAAGACTACAAAAGCTTATTTAATTGGTTATGATGGAGAAGAAAGATACCGACTATGGATCAAAGAAACCAAAAGTATTCACGTGATATTATATTTAACGAAAAGCTCACAAATTGTGAAGAAAGGGTGCAGTTACCTATTCAAGATTAAGATAGCCTAATTTCTGGCTCTGAACATCAACAAAATTCAGAAAAAGATAAGTCAGAAAAGTTTCTTTGTGAAGAAGATAATTCAGAAAAATAATACAACAAAGAAATATCTGGAAATATATCAGAAGAACATTTTGAAAGACAAGAATGTGAAGATATTAATTTGCAAAATAATGCACAGTCAAGATACCTAAGAGATAGAGCTGACTTGAGAAAGCCAAAGCGTTTTGAAGATTATATAATGATAAGTGAAGCTTTTCTTATTGATTCTGAAGAGCCCGAATCTTAGGAAGAAGCGATCAACTGTAAGCAAAGTGATAATTGGAAAGAAGCTATGGATTCAGAGATGAAATCATTGATAGAGAATGAAACATGGAGTTGAGAAAAATTACCAAAAGATGCTAAAGCTATACCATGCAAGTGGGTTTATAAGATCAAAAGGAATCCTGATGGATCTATTGATAAATTCAAGGCTAGACTTGTTGCCAAAGGATGTACTCAACGTTTTGGAGTTGATTATAATCAAACATTTAGTCCAGTAACAAAGTTAGGAACTATTTGTTCAGTTTTGAGCATCGCAGCCAATGAGAAAATGCATTTTTCTCAGTTTGATGTCGGTTCAGCATTCTTATATGGAAAACTTAAAGAATCTATATACATGCAGCAACCAGAAGGATATAATGATGGTTCGAAGAAAGTCTGTAAGTTGAAACGCAGTTTGTATGGACTTAAACAATCATCACGCTGCTGGAATAAATATTTTGGAGATTTTGTGTCACAGCTGGGCTTCAAGACAGGTGAAGCTGATCTATGCTTATATATCAGAAACAATAACGGCAAGAAGCTAATCGTATGTTTATATGTAGATGATGGTTTAGTAGCATCAACAGATCTACAAGAATCTGAAAAATTTCTCAGAGAATTGAAGTCGAGATTCAGAATCACAACTAAACCAGCAGTATACTTTCTTGGACTTGAAATTAAACATCTTGAAGATGGAAGTATTAAAATTAGTCAGCAAGCTTATGCAAGAAAAATTCTTCAAAAATTTGGGACGGAAGATTGCAAGCCAGTGTCAACTCCTATCCTGAAGGAAGGTCTAACTGAAAAGAAAAAGGAAGATAAATGAAACAGAGAAATTTTTCCTTATAGAGAAGCTGTAGGAGCTTTAATGTATCTTATGTTAGGCACAAGACCAGATTTAGCTTACTGTATTGGCATTCTATCACATTACCTAGAAAATCCTTCGAAAGATGATTGGAAAAAAGTGAAACGTGTATTCAGATACATAGCAGGTTCTCTAACTAAAGATACAAACCAGGAATTCTAGAATGCTATAGTGATGCAGATTTTGGAGGCTGTCAAGAAACAGGAAAACCAACGAGTGGAGTAGTGATATTATATAGTGGTGGAGCTATATCATGGATTAGCCAAAGGCAATCAGTTGTTGCAACTTCGACGACTGAAGCAGAAGTAATTGCAGTTAGTGAATGTTCTAGAGAAGTAATTTGGTTAAAGCGACTATTTAGTGATGTAACCAAGTTACGTGAAACTCCAGTAATTCAAGTAAACAACGCCGCTGCAGTGAGACTGTCTCAAAAGCCGGAGTTTCATCGACGCACAAAACACATTGATATCAAGCACTTTTTCATACGAGAGAAAGTTCTAGAAAAGGAAATCACTGAGCAGCAGGTACCTACAGAGGCGCAAGTTGCTGACATAATGACTAAACCTTTATTTAAACTGAGACTTAATTCTTTGTGATAAGATGGGACTTTTGTGACTTTTCTTTTAATTTATTATTATTATTTTTTTTACAAGGGGAAGTATTACAGTATGTTAATAAAAATAAAAATAATATAATATATAGTTTAGATGAGTTCTGGCAACAGTGAGTGTTGTCGTCATCAGGAGATCGTGCTTCGCGATACTGTCGTTCAAAAAGCTATAGTTTGTAATTCCAATAAAAGCATCATATTTTTACTCTGCTATTAGTTTTCTCTCTATTTTTACAAATACCTTTTTAGGTTATGTATTTTTTAAGAAATACG